ATCCCCCCAAAACCCCAAAACCCCAAAACCCCTAATTTTTTAAGCTTTTTTGAATAATTTTATAGTAAAAAATGATAGAAGAAGAAGGCGGGAAGGTATTTAAGGATAAGCAATGCTGCTTAGGCATTGATGAAGCTGGTAGAGGCCCTGTACTGGGTCCTATGGTCTATGCCTGTTGTTATTGGCCTATTGAGTTTCAAGATGCTAATCCAGAGCTTTTCAAGGCTTATGTGGACTCTAAGAAAACGACTGAGAAAGAACGTGAAGGAATTTATAAGAAAATTGCTGCTGGAAGGGATGAAGGATTACTCAATTACAAATACTTTAACTTAGACCCAAATGTGTTATCAAATGATCAATTAGGAAATGTTAGAAATCTTAATGAGATATCTCATGATACAGCAATAGCTCTGATTGAGGCCACTATTAAGGAAGGAACTGATCTCAAGGAGGTCTATGTTGACACAGTTGGGCCTCCAGATAAGTATAAGAAGAAACTTGAAAATTATTTTGCAGGTTCAGGAATCTCTTTTGTAGTTGAATCTAAAGCAGATGACTCATATAGATGTGTATCGGCAGCCTCTATTGTTGCAAAGTTTCATAGAGATGCTTTCCTCAAAAACTGGGAATTTGTAGAGCCTGGATTCAAAGATCCAAGTCATAAAGTTTTCGGTTGCGGGTACCCTGGAGATGATATCACCAAGGAATGGCTTAAAGAGCACTATGACAAAGTCTTCGGGTTCCCTACAATTGTCAGATTTTCTTGGTCGACATGAGACAGATTTATTAATGATCAGAAAATGAAACCTGATTCTGAGAAGATTTCGTGCTATTTCCCATGCCAGAAAATTAAGAAAGAAAGCTTCCTAACAGAATCTTATATGCCAAATACTGATGAGAAGAAGGCTTTAGAGGATATCTCAGGACCAGCCAGGGTACTTGGCCTTCAGCCATTTTAATGATTAAAACATTGTTTTCGGTATAAAGAAAATTTTATAAAATTACTATGAGACTAGAAAAAGGAAAATTTGAGCTTATAACTTTAATAAAGAATGAAAAGTGCTTATAACTAGTTTGCTATCGTTTTTAAAATATTTTTGCTTCTCAAGAAATCTCACAATCATCCCTTAAACCCCTCCAATGCTACAAGAATACAAATTTAGTTGATATTCTGAAGTTAGTGTAAAAATTTCAATTATTGTCTCCTCTCAAGGGGTTTTGGGGTTTTGGGGTTTTGGGGTTTTGGGGTTTTGGGG